TCTTAAATATATTAAGATGTGATCAATCTGACTAGTTGTTCTTCTATCAGGGGAGGTCCAGGTTACCTTGTATATATTCATATGTTCAAAATAGGTGCTAGCGACGGTCATGTTCAGTGCTGCTGCTAAGTTTATCAGTCGTAATCCATTATCGATACTGATGTTGTGTAGGCTATGCCTGCCTATAGTCGGCATAAAAACTCGCTCTCGCCCTATTCTTGCATTCATGTCACCTAGAACTATCTTGATGTCATTTTTATTGCATCTTCTATAGGCTTGTTCTATAGTCGGGGCGTGTGCATTAATTAAACTGTAATTAAAGAATTTACCTTTTAAGAGTAAATAGCACATTCTTTGACTATAGGCTTTAAAATCAATAACTAGGCCTTTTGTTCTTTGGTTTACTATAAATCCCACTCCATCTATGTGTTGGTTTTCATTGCAGCTGTAATATATGTAGTGGGTTCTCTTGTCAAAAATGCCTGCTCCTGTCCATTGCATTTCCTGCAGTGCCAAAACATCTACTACACACAAAATCCAAAAAAAGGACTGAAAATAAATTTCAGTAAAAGTAAACTAATGTCAAACATAGATGACAAACTTCGAAGGGACAGGGATAGAACACATAGATGAATATCTGGGCCAAAATGTCGAGATAAGCAAAGAAAATCAGACTACCTAAATTAGTAGACTTGTCAGAATGGGATGGGCAGCATTCGGAAGTCTCTCATACGTACTTAAAAATAAAAATATAGCTCAAAGACTTCGAACCAAAGTGTTTAATTTCTGTATCCCAGCTGTACTTACATATGGAGCTCAAACCTGGACATTAACTAAAATAAACATAGAGTAGATCAGAAAAACTCAAAGAGCTATGGAACGACAGATGCTAGATATCTCAATTAAACACCATAAAACCAATGAAGACATTCGTTATAAAACAAAAGTAAAAGATATTGTTCTGAAGCTATTTTCTTGTGGCATTTTAAATTAATTACTATTTAACTGGGAATAAGCCACAATTAAAGATAAAAATACGTTTATTGACGTTTCAATTTCCACTTCGGAAATCGTTCTCAAAATACAAACAGTAAATTAAACAAATTTTGTTTTTTGTTACATAGTGAAAAATTCTTCTAATAATTTAATTTTATCTGACTCATTTATATTGACAATTCAGACATACATTATGCATTTTAAAGTAGACGACTTTAAAATGATATTGCCAATATTGTTGAGTTGCGCTCCTGGGACGACTTTACTTATAAGATAGTTCATTCGATTACATGAAATCAACTTTAACTTGAAAATACCCGTTAGAAAAAAATCATAGCATGTAATTGGTCTTTAAAAAGACAAACACAGTACATGATAACAGTAAAATTCTCCTGTTAGTGATTCCATAGTAAATTATGAGGGAAAAACCAGGAAAAAAACCTCATATTACTATCCCGACATTGTAAGTATTTGTTTGTGAATTTAGTTTACCTTCAACAAACATCAAAATTCTGATTTTATATGTTACGTTATTTAAAAAACATAAATAATGTATCCTCTATATGTTACTGACTTACTAATACTGGTATTTTCTTATTAATAACTTCCTCTTTCAATATTGGTAACCAGATCCTACTACATTCTGCCGAGGAATTTGCGGCACAATTGACCCCATTTAGCATAATAAGAGTCTTTGATTTTTTTTTACCACCCGTTTCTTTTAGGACTACATTTGAATTATTCCATTGAACCCTATGTTCATATTATCAAATCACAATGTTAATGTAAAAAAGGGAATAATTAAATCCTTATACGATAGAGCCAAAATTACTTGTTCTAACGAAAATTCGTTCTTGGAAGAGAAACATTTGTTAACATCTGTTTTATTAAAAAATGATTATCCTTTATAGTTTATAAATAAGGAATTTTCAACAATCGATCGAATAGAATAGAACAACTTAGAACGAGATCCTACAGCATACACAAGGAATAATATGAGGAAAATAACAATACCGTACATAAAAGGATTATCAGAAAAACTTAAAGGGATAGGAAATAAATTCTACATTTTAACAACATTCAAAACAACAAACACGTTGAGATCTATTTTGTCCAAAACCAAACCTAACAATGAACAAGAAAGGACAAAGAATTGCATTTATAAAACACCTTGTGAATACGATCAGTTTTATTGAGGTGAAACATCAAGGCCATTAAATGTTAGAATAAGTGAACATCAATCTTATATTAAAAATAGAGAATTTCATAGATCTCAAATATGTAAACACGCATGGGATAATGAACATAGGGTTCAATGGAATAATTCAAATAATGTAGTTCTAAAAGAAACGGATGGTAAAAAAAGAAAAATCGAAGAAGCGGCTCTAATTATGCTAAATGAGGCCAATTGTGTCGCAAATTCCTCGGCAGAATGTAGTAGGATCTGGTTACCAATATTGAAAGAGGAAGTTATTAATAAAAAAATACCAGTATTAGTAAGTCAGTAACATATAGAGGATACATCATTTATGTTTTTTGAATAACGTAACATATAAAATCAGAATTTTGATGTTTGTTGAAGGTAAACTAAATTCACGAACAAATACTTACAATGTCGGGATAGTATTATGAGGTTTTTTTCCTGGTTTTTCCCCTTATAATTTACTATGCAATCACTAACAGGAGAATTTTACTGTCATCATGTCATGTGTTTGTCTTTTTAAAGACCAATTACATGCTATACTACGTTCCACGTTTAGAAAATAACATTGCGGAGATAGGGCCATGTATTTCTTATGGACGATAGCAACGCGGCGTTGCCACGACACACACAAGCACAATTTAGGGTTGTATAATTTGTATTTTCATTTCCAAAAACATGAATTAAATTAATGTTTTTTAACGTAATTAACCAAAAGTGCCCATTCGAAACAAGAGATGAAAAGTAGGGAAAATGATTTTAATTAGATAAATAGTATTTACAAAAGATAATGTTATTTTATCTTATTTTAATTATAGTAACGACAGTTTATTTGTTTTTCGGTGAGAATACGATATGCCATGAATCATAGAAATCAGTAGAAAATATTGACCGCTTGGAATGCGTATATATCTAATTACTAATTGCAACTTAAAATAATACGATGTGCGTATGTCAGCTATTTTATGTCGTTCCCTGACTACATAATGATACTAAGGCTTTTATTTAGTAGTTATTCTGACTTTCCAGTTAAGTGTTAATGGAAAATGAACATTCAAAAATTAAGCAAAGGGAATATCTTGGACATCCGTGCGAAAGAGAGTGGCTGAGAGTTTTGGCAACACTGATCTCCATAAGCGTAATGTTATTTTCTTAACTTGAAACAAAGAATATGATTTTTTTTCTGACGGATATTCTCAAGTTAAAGTTGATTTCATGTAATCGAATGAACTATCTTAAAAGTAAAGTCGTCCCAGGAGCGCAACTCAACTATATTCGCAATATCATTTTAAAGTCGTCTACTTTAAAATGCATAATGTATGTCTGAATTGTCAATATAAATGAGTCAGATGAAATTAAATTATTAAAAGAATTTTTCACTATGTAACAAAAAACAAAATTTGTTTAATATACTGTTTGTATTTTGAGAACGATTTCCGAAGTGGAAATTGAAACGTCAATAAACGTATTTTTATCTTTAATTGTGGCTTATTCCCAGTTAAATAGTAATTAATTTACAATGCCACAAGAAAATAGCTTCAGAATAATAATAAAATGGAAATGGGCTGGACATAACGAACGTCTTAAGGATGGCCGATGAAATAAAGAGATCTGGAATTGGTCACCATATGAAGCCAAAAGACCACGAGGAAGACTGCAAATGCGCTGAAGCGACGATATTAAAAGAACTACAGCACTAATGTGGAAACGTCTTACGAACAACAGAGATGAATGGCGAGAATTAAGAATTGCCTCTTAATAGAGAGGGCTTAAAAAATAGTATACAGCCAATGAATTCATTTTCCTTTTAAATTGTATTAAATATCGTTTCGATCTCGTTTTTTATTAGCACTCTTCCTATTTTCTTTGTTGTCCTCTTTACATATCGTAGATTGGTTTTTGCAACCAGCTTTTTGTCTTTTATTGGACGCTCTTTAAGAATTTTAATTTCTTAATATTGCTTTGATAAGCCATTTTTACCGCTGTTTTCACATTATGCATTTCTTCATTTTAACGTCTTTCCTCTGTCAGTCTTTCGAAATTTCTAATCAGAGTTTTAATGACTGAATATAATTATTGTGTAGAATGGTGATGCAAATGAGCGTGAAGATATCTGTCGGTATGTGTGGGTTCTCAGTATATTCCACCTGACTTGATAATGGCAAGTACGGCTTTGTCGTCAAAATAATAGTTTTTCTCAAAACAACATTAATGCGGAGTCGAACCCGGAAAACTATTCGATCGATAAAAAACGATCAGGTCGAAAAGATGCGATACGTCGTCAACATACACTGGAATGCACCGATCGTGAAGATACAAGAAGAAGTATTTGCTACAAGAAGAAAGCACAAAAGATATTTATCAAAGACGTTTAAATTAACATGCGAAACAACTGCAAAGACCCTTGTCAACACGCAAAACGAGATTAGTTGGATGTAACGAAAGATATGAAGATAATATAAAGAGATTGGAAAGGACAAAAGAAAACTAAAAATAAATAGATGAAATGGAGGAGATCTATACTTATAATGGAAATAGATCATTTTATTGATTTGCTTTACTAACTTTGTAGATTTGTTCTTTAGTATCATTTTTTTCAATACTGTACTTTATTTTGACATTAACTTACATTTAAAAAAGAACTATCATAAAGTAAATAGTAAAAAGTATACAGTATGTAAATAATATTTATTAAATTGAACAGATGTAGGGTAATAAAAAATTATCTTCGTATCAAATTTTATTGTTGTTGACATGGATTGGATTATATATTATATAGTAGCCATTGCACTTTTCGTTTGTGCAAAAAGTTACATCTGAAGACTATAACGTCAACTAATACTTTTAAAAATGATTCCTCCTGGTAGATACACTGTTATTGACGAGGATAATTTCCAGAATTATATTAAAGCAGTAGGTAAGTGAATTTTGTTTCCTATTTTTTCAGTTTTTTCTTTTAAAATCAGAATATCACCTCGGAATATTACAAGTATGTCATGTAAGAAAATAGAATTAGTGGATACTATTTAAAGAAGAATTCAGATTTCTCTCCTCCAAAAACGAAGTGCAGAAAATAAAGAGTGGAAGCACTAGTGAGCGACACAAATTGTAGGATTTGAAGTGCCAAATCAATTTTCATTTTGTGAACTTATAACCTATAATATATAAACTAACTTTTTAATAAATTATAACGGTTTGTAGGCTTTAATGGCAACTACGTAAAATATACAATCGAATTTCGTCAAGATGGAGATAAAGTCAGAATGAATGAATTTTTTGGGAATAAATCTCTGGTAAGCGAATTTACCATAGGAGTAGAATTTGAAGAAATGAGTATCATTGGGAAAAAAGTTAAGGTAAGTTTTTATAATCATTTATAACTTTTTTTAACAAATGAATGTCATAATTCATATACATTCAACAAAGAAAAAAATATATAACAAACTATGTATATAAGATAAGCAAAATAAAAAATTCTACAAAGAAGTAAGACAACATAAGAAAGGTGCATACATAGAACACCGAACTTTGTGAGAGATAAAAATGAGCAAATAATTACAGCTGAAAATAAAATAATCGAAAGATGGGCTGAATACTTTGAAAGTCTTCTAAATGTCCAGGTAGACGCGGATGGAAATAAAGCAAATTGTGAGTACCAAACGGCCGAGATAAAAGTACCCCCGCCAAGCCTGGAAGAAATTATCACGGCGATATAAACCCTAAAAAATGACAAATCCCCGGGACTAGAAAATATTGATGCAGAACGGATTAAAAAAGAAGGGCATGAACTTAGAACTAAAATACACCAATTAATGAAGGAAGCCTGGGAACAAGAAATAATGCCAAAAGAATGGAGTGGCTGTATTATCGTGCCAATACATAAAAAAGGCAGAAAGGATACATGTGGCAACTACAGGGGAATCTCACTAATCGGTACTACTTATAAGATATTAGCTTCAGTTGTACTAAAACGATTACTGCCATATACAGAGGAAATTATTGGCGATTGCCAATGCGGCTTTAGGCCTGGAAGATCAACAATCGACCAAATATTAACTATCAGACAAATGCTAGAAAAGTATTGGGAATATAATAAAGAAGTACACCAGATCTTCATAGATTTCAAACAAGCATATGATTCCATAGATCGCTTAAAACTGTGGAATGCAATGATGGAGTTCTTCTTCTTCAAGTGCCGTCTCCATCAATGGAGGTTAGCGGTTATGGTGGCAAACGTTTGTCTATCTTCAGCTGTTCTTAAGAGTTCCTCAAATCCAAGTCCTGTCCAGTTTCTGATATTACGTAACCAGGACAATTTTTTTCTTCCAATTCCTCGCTTTCCTTCTATTTTGCCTTTTATTATCAACTGAGGGATGTAGTATTTCTCGTTGCGCAATAAATGCCCTAAATGATGGAGTTAGGCGTACCAAAGAAGCTGACCTTGATTGCGCGAATGTGTGTCAACAATTCCTTTGCACAAAGTAGAATAGAAGGCAAAACTTCAAAGGATTTCGGCATAAGCACCGGGCTCAGACAGGGAGACCCGCTGTCCCCATTACTATTTAACCTAGCCTTGGAATACGCAATGCGAAAAATCTATACCAGAGTCAAACCAGACATAACTGCCAGAGGAGCAAAGATTATTCCCGCATGCAGTAGCACAGACAACACTGGAAGTTAAGGATATAGTATCGAACTTTAAAGAAGCAACACTAAGCGTAGGCCTGAAAATAAACGAAGAAAAAACTAAATACATGGTCGTATCAAAAAAGGAACGACAGCGAATAAGACAAAACATTACCATAAACGATCATAATTTTGAGGTGGTTAAAGAATTCAAATACCTAGGAGCAACAATTACCAGTGAAAACACATGAGAACGGGAGGTTGAAATACTAATACTGGCGGGGAATAAATCATTATTTGCCATTCAACATCTAATGAGGTCAAAGCTTCTCTCAAGGCGTGCCAAAATCCAAATGTACAAAACTACAATACGACCAGCAGTGACATATGGAAGTGAAACATCACTGACAACAACAACAACAACAACAAGAAAGAAATCAATAAGCTATTAGTATGGGAACGCAAAATCCTGCGAATTATATATGGTCCTTGCAGGGACAGCGTGACAAATGAATGGAAGAGCAGATACAACAATGAAATAGAGACTCTCTTCGGGAAAGGAAACATCGTAAGATACATAAAAGCCAATAGATTAAGATGGGCAGGCCACTTGGTACGGAGTGATGATGACAGACTGATTAGCAATGTGTTTTGGGAAAGACCAGATGGTAGATCGACAGGAAGGCCTAGAAAAAGGTGGCAAGACGCAGTCAGGGAAGACCTGGAGAAGATGGAAGTAAGGCCATGGAAAATAGTAGCACAGAATCGGAATCAATGGAAGGCAATAGTAAACGCGGCAAAAACTCACGAAGAGTTGTAAAAGCCAATGATGATGATGATATGTATATAAGATGGAAAGACGTATTTTTAACTATTGGTCGTCTTCAGTAGTTAGAAAATATTTTTGACTATCGGTCGTCTTTGTGGAAATAATGTTAGAAGACTTAGAGGTTTTTAGAGCAACAACTAACACATCCACAGAGGAAGCTAAGCTACACGAGAAAAGAAATTCTAAATGTTTAGAACGTTTCAAACAAGAAAAAGTTTTACACAGCTCCATTTGTATAAATCTATCATCTTCTTCTTCTTTGAGTGCCTCTCCTATCGGAGATTGGATATCCATTATGGCGATTTTAATTTTATTTACTGCTGTTTTGAGTAATTCGTTAGTGGTACAGTCAAACCACTCTCTTAAATTTCTCATCCAGGACATTCTTCTATGGCCTGGATTTCTGTGTTCTTGGATCTTTACTTGCAATATATTTTGTAGGAATGTGTACTTTTATCCTCTCATCAGGTGGCCTTATTCAAGTTTTCTCTTTTTTATATTCATAATAGCTTCTGGATCGTTATATATTCTACGTATTACCTCTTCATTTGCAACTTTATCCACCCAACTTATTTTTACTGTACGGCAGTAGCACCACATTTCAAAGCTTTCAAGATTTTTAATATTTTTCTGTTTAAGAGTCCATGCCTCAACACCGCAAAGCTATCATATGCCCAGTTAAAATCTATAAGAATCTGAGGTACTGTTTTGTTTTATTCCCAACATAACTCCATCAACTGCCTAATAGTGAATATTTCATCCACCGTTGATCAATTTTTCCTAATCTTATACTGATATTTTGCTATTTGATATTCGACTGCTTAATCGTTCCAATAATATTAGGAAGAAAACTTTATATTCTGGGTTATTAAGTGATATACCTCTATAGTCTGTACAGTAAATTTTAGCACAATTTTTGTACATGGTTCTAATAACACTTTTGTTTCAGGGGTGGGTACTTGCTACTTTTTCTTGACTTTGCAGATAAGCTCACAAAAATATGTACCGAAGTTTCTCCTCTATTTTTCAAACATTCTGCAGATATGGTGTGTCATTTGCTGGAGCGTTATTGGTGTTTAGATTTCGAATAACTTTTGACGCTTCGTCCAGTGTCGGGCTCCGCCATAATAATATAGGCATATTCTTGACTGGTTTCATTTATCTGGACACTTATATCATTTTAGCCTTCCCCATAACTAGGTTACCCATTTCGGGACATTGGCAAAATCCATTATTTAGATTTTTTTGTCTTTTTGCATGTACCTTTTGTATGGAATCTTGATTTTAAGACACCGCGGTAGTTCTTCTTTTTATTCTTCTTGATTTTCCCACAGTGCTTTGTATACTATGAGTAATGAAATTATTTCCCACACAGTGTCAACATTATTTTGATTTTCTCAAACTGATCAGTAGTGCTGCTTAGTACTTATTTAATTTTTAAGCATCTTTGAAAGCCACCATGTTCTATATCGAAATCTGTTTTGGCTTTGTGTTCTTTTGTTTAATAACTCCTGTACCCCATCATTGGAACCCTAGCTCTGCTTATGAATATTTTTATAATTAAATAACATTAATTTAATAAAAAAAAAATGGATGTTATATTTTTTATATATTTATATTTATTTGATTGCAGAGCAAAGCCATTCTCTTCGAAGACGTTCTTATAATGAGAAGTGATGATCGCACCATAATATACAACTTTAAACCAAGAGGAGGAGAAATCGTAATTATTTTTTTTTTAACTTACGAATAATAAATTATTGTTAATATTCTTTAGTGCTTATAACAGAAGTTCTACAAAGAATAATTAATACAAATAATACAAATAATACAAATAAAGTTTTCCCGTTCTTACTATACATTTATAATTTTTAAGTTAGCTCGAAAACGAATTTTAATATTAACCCAAAACGTCGATTTGATTTGCTTTGCACCGGAATTATTTATTAGATAACACAAGTCAATCAGGAAAAATATTCTCTCACTCATAATTAAAAAAAAATATATGATTTCTATAGAAATGATATATATTTTTTAACCAATATAAGGTTGAATGCTCGAATAAATGAACTTTGATGATATACAAGGCAAATATCGAAAACAGTATTAATTAAATCTTGCCCAAGTACTTTCGATCACTAGATCATCCCTAGAAATGTCTTTGAGGACATTGCGTTGTACACAGCTTTGTATATTCCCATTCATTACACAAGCCCCTATGATCTTTTCTTAGGACTATCTCCTCCGACATCTGCAAGTGCTGTCCACACTTAATTGCAATTAAATATTGTGCGATAATACATAAACCAAACGTTCTCAGACTCATTTTCATTGTAGAAGAATCATAAAAATTGAATTGAGGAAAATACCTTACCTTACCATACCTTATAATTAAGGATATTCTCCATATTTGTGCCAAGTTAGTATTATACATTACCATTGTCTAGAGAATAGTCGGAAGACTTCGTTCAAAGCTGATTTCTGTAGAAGACAATAGGACTTTATATTTTATATTTAAATATTCTTGAGGGATTGGTATGTATAGAAAAATGTTGATAAAAGTATAATTTAAACAATTTTTTTATATGATATACATCCAACTCCCGGGAACTATCCCTTTTTAAGTTTACACAATTTTACTTCTTATCTCTTATCTCATGGCATGCGTTAGAGGTAGTAGAATAATAATAATATAGTTATATCTCAATTATATAGTAATATTATAATCTTAATTTTAGATCCACATAGCACCCAATGCTTTTGGGAAGCTCATATTTAAAAAGGACGAATAAATAACCTGCTGGACAATGGAATACAAACTCATTTAAATGAGAAGGTTTATTCATATATCATGTTTAAATAATATTAAATATGTACTCACATATAATAATAAAATAAACATTTCACATTTATTGTTACAACAATTTGTCACCTTATACTTATGCCGCAAAGACAAAGCTGATTATATATCTCAAATATGCAGAGAGATAAAGGAACATGGCTGTCGAAATGAACCGAGGGATTTATTTCAGAAGATCAAACTCCTTACCAGAGAAATTAAATCTCAAAGGTGGTCTGTAATCGATAAGAAAGGTAATTTAAAGACCGATACTGACAAAATACTGGAAACATGACGAAACTACTGTGACGAGCTATATAAAAAATAACGAGGTACCAGCAGAAAATCAGTGGCCCTCTGAATACCCTAGAGAATCTACTGTCTTACTCGCTGGAGTCAAAGATGCAAATAAATCGCTAAAGAGAAATAAATCCCTAGGCATTTATTCAATACCAGGAGAAATACCAGTTACTAGGTAACAAAGGATTTCATATCATCCATTCTATCTGTATCTAAAAATATCAAAAACAGATTAAAAACCTTACATTACCGAACACCTCAGGAATAAGCAAGATTTGTAAAGGGTTAAGGTACACGGGAACAAGTCCTGAAGCTGAGACAACTTATTGAAAAGTCTAGAGAATTTTAAGTACCGATGATTATATGCCTTGTTGACTACCAAAAGACATTTGATTGTGTAGGCTGGATATATCTGTGGTTCATTTTAATAGAAATGGGCACACCAATGCACCTGGTGACCCTTAGTAAAAATCTATACCAGTCCAATAAGCAACACTACACTACATCAGACGTTCTCAAACCAATTAAGACCGAGAGAGGTGTTAGACAAGGATGCATATTGTCACCTGACTTATTCAACATTTATGGTGAATGTGTCATGAGAATGGCTTTACATGGAGGGACCGGTGGAGTAAGAGTGGCTGTTAGGAAAATCTCCAATTTAAGATTTGCTGATGACACTACACTTATAGCATCAAATGAGCAAGAAATGTTTAATCTTCTGCAAAGAGTTGAGTACGAGAGCTATAAAGTTAGTCTGAAAATCAATAATGCCAAGACAAAAATATTGCTCGTCTACAGGTTCCACACTATTCAACTGACTAACATGTTACAGGAATACCAGATAGTGGACAGTTTTATCTATCTCGGGTCTAGTATAACTAACGATGGTAACGATGTAACTGTGAAGCAGAAGTTCGGAGACGTATTGGTATGGCAAATACCAATCTCTCAAAGTACTCTCTACTCAGTATCTCTCAAAATATCAAGATGAGACTGATTAATGCCCTTGTATTCTCAATATTTCTGTGCAGGGCAGAGACTTGGACTCTTTGCAGATGCGGGCGCCAAAAAAAACTGATGCCTTTGAAATATGGTGCAGAAGAAGAATTCTGCGCATACCTTGGATAGCTGTAGGACTAATGTTTCCATTATAAACCAACTCGAGATTAAAAAAAAGGCTGTCCACAACATGTCTACAACGTATTCTGCAATTTTTCGGCCACGTGGTTCGTAGAGATGACACGTGGCCAGGTGGTTCATGGTAGACGGTTTGGAGAGATTAATTGTTTCTGGAAACGTTCCGAGGACAAGAACAAGAGGACGATCACCAACTAGATGATCCGACTAGATTAAGAATTCAGCTGGAAACTCATTCTGCAAAGATCTCAGAGCAGCTGAAGATAGGGACCAATGGAGAAAAATTGTTAGAAATATTGGAAGAAATCACGATCCTCAGTATTGAGGAAATGACAAAAGAGAGACTTCAGTCGTCAGAGAACAAAATGCTACAGTACCTCTCAAAATTAAGCGAATAAGCTGAATTTTGTTGAGAATGTCAACTTTGGGACCTGGGTTTCCTAATAAAACCCTGCTTGTAGACGGAAAAATGTGTAATTCCTCTGTGGTTCGAGCATTTATGTTTACCTTTAATGTTTTTGATGGAGAGTATTCCAGTGTTTTTATTTCTGCCTCTCTTTTAGTACTTTTTAATTAACGTTTCTTCAAGGGTTGTGATATTTTATCAATTTACAAATGTTCCAATAATTATATTAAAACATAAAAATAAAATTTATTTAATTGAACAGATGTCTTTAAGCCCATTAAATAAAGAATTTTATCGATAAAAATTTTATTACCCAAAAAAGTTTATTGTTAAGATTGTATATATAGGTATCATTGCCTTTTTATTTTTAGAAAGTTCTTTTTAACTTTGTCAGCTAACGTTTGTTATATACATATCGAAAATGGTTCTTTCCGGAAAATATACTGTTATTGATGAAGATAACTTTCAAAATTATATCAAAGCAGTCGGTAGGTAACTTATTTGTTTATAATGTTTATATAGTTTCATAAATAGTCTAACTTTGCTTTGGTCATCTAAATTTCTTTGCCATCTCCTATTCCAGCAATTTCTTCACCTAATTTTCCCATTATTATGCTTATTGTTTTTCGTAAGTTAGTTCCCTAAGTGCTTTTTGATCTTTCGTGATTTCTTCTCCCTGTGGACTGCCAATTTAATAAAAAATTTTAAAACAATTGTAGTGTAGATTGTTTCTTTCATGTAATATTTTTATTTAATACATTCCCATTGCTTGTTTAATACTGATTCCATCAATTTCTATTTTACATCTGTTTGGTTCTTTGCTGACCACTATTGTTTTAATTTTCTGAGATGAAATTGTCTTATTAAATTAGTTGGCTCTTATGTTAAATCTGTGGACCAGTAGTTGCAGAGTATCTTCATCTTGGGCTATTAATATTGAGTTGTCTGCGTAATAGAATATTTTTACTTAGTAAACTTAAACTGTAGTGAACTTAATTCCTATATATTAATTATTTTTATTAGCGTTTATCTTTCTTCTTCTTCAGATGCATATCCACTAATGGATGTTAGCGATCACATTTTCCATTAATTCTCTATTTCTTGCAATATGTATCAGAGATTGTATGTCGTTAATCCCTGTCCATTGCCTTATGTTTCGGAGCCAGGACATTTTCTTGCGTCCGACTCCTCTCTTGCCTTCAATTTTACCCTCGATTATAAGTTGGATGAACTGGTATTTTTCATTTCGCATGATGTGACCTAGATACGTCGTTTTCCTTTTCTTGATGGTTTCGAAGAGTTGGCGTTCTTGGTTTATTCTTTTAAGGACATCTATATTGTGATTTTCGCTGTCCATGGTATTTTTAGGATACGGCGATAAAGCCACATTTCGAAAGCTTCTAATCTGTTTATATCCCTCGTTTTGAGTGTCCAGCCCTCTACGCCATATAGCAGCACTGACCATACGTAGCACTTAGTAAACCTTAGTCTCAGTTGAAGATCGAACTCTGAACAAGTCAGTACCTTCTTGAATTTTACGAAAGCTTGTCGAGCTTGCTTAATGCGACATTTTACTTCCCTGTCCGATGCCCAGTCTTCAAAAAGCCACAATCCCAGGTATTTAAATTTACTCACTCTTTCAATGGATTTAGTATTCAGTGTTATGGTGGAGTTTTCAAGTTTCTGGAGATGATCATGAATTTGGTCTTTTTGGTATTAATCTCTAATCTCATTCGCTTACTGTATTCTCCGATTATAGTGACAAGTTGTTGAAGATCGACTAGGCTGTCACAAATTAAGACACCATCATCAGCATATCGTATGTTGTTGATCAATACTCCATTCACCTTGATTCCCATCTCTGTATTCTCCAAAGACTCTTGAAATATGGCTTCCGAATAAATGTTAAATAAAAGAGGGAAAAGCACACATCCCTGTCGAACGCCTCTTCTTATATGTATGGGTTTGGATATAGAATTGTCTATTTTTAACTGTGCAGTTTGATGCCAGTACAAGTTTTCAATGCATCTTATGTCTTTTTGGTCTATATCAACTTTCTTGAGAATCTGCATTAACTTGTGGTGTTGGATACGATCAAACGCTTTTTGGTAATCTAAAAAGCATAGGAACACATCCTCCCTCTGATCGTAACAATTTTGGACCAGCACCTGTGTTGCTACTATTGCTTCTCGTGTTCCTAAACCTTGCCTAAACCCGAACTGGGAATCACTGATATCCCATTCACATTTTTTGTATAATCTTTGATGTAGTATTTTTAAGAATATCTTTAAAGTGTGACTCATCAGGCTAATGAGTCTGTGATCCTCACATCTTTTTGTATTGACTTTCTTGGGCAGGGGAATAAAGGTAGAGCGTAACCACTGTTGAGGATAGCAGCCAGTTTCATAAATTAAATTAAATATTTTGTGTAGTGCTGAAATTCCCCTTTCATCTAGTAATTTGAGTATTTCTGACGGGATCTCATCTGGTCCAGGTGTCTTACTGTTTTTTGAATTTAATATTGCCTTTTGAATTTAATATCTTTACCTGATCAAAATGGTGCCTGTTAATTAAATTATAAGTTGGGTTCCTGATTCTGCTTTAAATTGCTTTTTTTTTTTCATTTATTTATATTCCATATTTGTCGTTTACACAGTTAATTTATATTTTCCTTAGCTGTGGCTGTACACATTTCATATTCTAATTTTATTTTATCGATTTCTCAATTTTTCCAATATATCAGTATATTGATTTGTTTTCTTGTTTTAAAAAAGACATTCTTATTTTTTTTGTTTCGTTGATATGTACTTGTTATTTTTTTGACAGTTTTTCATGTCTAACCTCTGATTGCTTTTGATTTTCTTTTTCGTCTCAAATTGACTGTTAGTGCTAACGTTGCTCGAATCAGTTTATCATCTCTACAAGTCTAAAATCGATTTATTTCTGTCAAATCTTTAACGATAGATCTGTTGGGTGTTTTTACTTCTTCTTAGTATTTTAGAGTCCATTTCGAATATGGGCCTCTTCCAAACCCCTTATCGATTTCTATCCTGAGAAATATACTTGCAATTTATTCCAGTTATTTTTTGATGTCATCTACCTATCTTATCTGTGGCTCTTGATTGTCTACCTTTGTAAGGTCTCCAATCTTGTATTGTGGCGTTTCAAAGTTGGTCTTTTTGTCTAGCAGTGTAACCTGCGAATTTGAGCTTGGCAATTTTTGATCTTATCCAGTCATTCCTCTTTTTATCCTACAATTGTATACCTAATAGTATCAATTGCATTATACTTTCTATTGTGGCTAGTCAATATGTCATAATAAAAAGGATACATTGGTTGAATACTTGGCTCCTCAAGTAATGAGATATTTTGAGATTCTCTTCTCTTCCAGGGATTTCGGCACTTTGGTTCTTTTTGTCTTCCATAATTTATTCTAGGTAGATATATATTACATATTCAATAAATTTATTTATTTTCTAGGGTTCAATGGTCAGTATCTGAAATATACAATTGAGTTTCATCAAGATGGCGATAAAGTCAAAATTAACGAATTTTATGGCGAGAAATCTCCCAGCGAGGTTATCATAGGGGGAGAAGTCGAGGAAATGAGTATAACAGGAAGTAAAGTTAAGGTAAGTTTTTTGGTGTGGTTACAAATATTTAAGGGTTCTTTTACTTTTCGTCAACCTTTATTCATTTACTCCAGAATATAGGTGTCTCCCAATTGCTTTCATTTTTCTATGTCCTGCGCCACTCTCGTCCACTTGATGACTTCGAGGACAAGGATGAATAGTTTGGACGAGATAGTATCGCTTTGACTCACTAGCCTTTATAGTTTTATAGGGTTGGGTTTATATTTTTGACTACATATATTTGAAGGGTTGAATTCTCTTTAAATTATTAATTTAATAATTTCTACCAGAACAACAAGGATATTCAGAATCGAAAGATCCTGAGTAGATGCCATATTTGTATTAATACTAATCACAGAAAAGGCCATGGAGTACCATAAACCAGCATATCAATGTGTTATAGACCTGATGAAGGCTTTTGATCGCATCCAAGTCGAAGACGTCTTACACCTACTGTATAAAAAAAACATACCAATCAATATTATACAAACCATCGAAAACATCTACTTCCATAATCGAATACAGGCAAAGATAAATGAAAAACTAACACCCTGTATATCAGTACAAACATACGGAGTCAGACAAGGTGACTCGTTAAGCCCACTTTTCTTTAATATAATAATGGACGAAATAATAAAAAAAAATACGTAAAGGTTATGGTTACAGAACATGGAACAAAGAAATCCAAATATTATGTTATTATGTTAATCCTCTGTTTGGTTATTTTTATTTTTTATTATTTCGTTTCGGCTATTGGTGCAGTACTGTGCTAGGGCCAGCCTATGATCGCCTGCCCATAGAAAATCGATTTAGTACTGTCAGATCCTTTTATTGTTTAAAATTGTTTAGTAGTTGACGAGTTCTATAAGATTAGACGAAGTTACTAAAGGTCTATAAGACGTTCTGCATATTCTCTATAAGATAATTTAAAATATTTCTTTATTTTTCAGAGCTACGCCATTTTTTTTCGAAAATGTCCTAATTGTAAGGAGAAGTGATGAGCGCACAATAATATACAACTTTAAACCGACCGGAGGAGAAATTGTAAATTTTATTTCTTTATTATATTTAACAATTTTATTATTACGATAATTAATATGTGGATTGGATTAATTATACAATGGTTTAACGACCAAAGTTTAGGTTTAAGACATGTTATAAATAATCCCTTATTAAATAACTGCTTTTATCCCCCCCCCCCCATTAAATTTTCTATGTGTGCATCTAGCTATCAATAAAATAATCACATATCTCTTAGTTATTCGTTCTATATGCTGATTCTAAAGCTTCTTTACTTTACGCACTAGATTTAGATTTGTACCATTCACAGTTATAGGATCCAATATCTTCCCACACCTCTATGGCCCTCCATTTTGCTTTTATGGATCAGTTGTTATATTTTATATCGATTTCCCCTTACTATAGGTCCCAGATAAGACATTTTTCGATGTTACACAGTCTTTAGCAGTTCTATATCTTTAATTTCGCTCCTTAGTACTTCTTCATTAGTTTTCCTTGATGTCTAAGGTATTTTCAGTATTCGTCTATAAATCCACATTTCCAATGCTTTTGTTTATGATCGATACTTTTATCTTTTATCTACAGTCGAGGCATAGATTTGAAGTATGTTAGTTTTAAATGGTTGAGTATTTATTTGGAGTCATATTATTCTATTCGAGACTGGTACGAAATTGGTCACATATTTACTCAGTTCTGATGTTCGTCCTTTTTCCATGATCCTGACGCTGGCCATTCATTTCGCTACTTCCCAGTAGGTCTATTTTCATTTTTTGAATTGTGCTGTCAAGTTTTCCAGCCGCAAATAGACTTCTAACATTACATGTGCACATTATAAAATTAGATTTCTTTATTTTTAGGATTTCTTTACAAGATCCTCACATGTTTACAACCTGAGAGGCCTCATGGTATAAATATGTTGCTCCTCTCCTGTCGAGTCTTGGCCTCCGCTTTCCATGATTAGTAACGGTTTGCAATTGCAGTGTTAATTCTATGATGATTTTCCGGGGAATGCTCTATGAGTCGTTAATGCAGTGGTTTGCCTTTGCCTTCTGCATTCTTACGCCGTTGACCATTATTTGTTGGTTCATCCGCCTTCAGGGCCGATTTCTCAACCCCAGGACAAAAGAATGCCCTACCACTAACCTACTCATCCGCTCTAAGCTGTTGGTCAGTCAGTGAGAAATTGCTATACTGGCAATCACTTGGACGTCAGAGCTTAATTTGTCATCTAGCAGGATGCACCGCATGATTATAGTCAAGATCATCAAGCGACAAGATGGGGTTGACATTTGGATAGGAGGGGCTATACGTTGCGCATTACTATCCCTTGCTATCCCATCTTGTGTCATACTAATATCAATCTCCCTTCACCGACATGTCATTCCTAAGCATCTCTCCCAGGACTTCTTTGGTCTTCCTCTCCACTTTTCCTAGAAACTTACAGAACAGCCATTCTTCGTATTGGATTAATAAGATCTCGAAATTGAACATATTCAAACCGTTTTAACCTATTTTCTCTTATTTTTGAATTGTTTCCTCCATGTATTGTTCAACATATTCAACACTTCTTTATTAAGTACAAATATCAATGAAAATCTATTATTTATTCTTACTGCTTTTACTACGTGTTTATTTTGCTTTCAGCAGTTATACCAACACTTTCCCTAGTGTTTATTTTGCCTATATACCATATTTGTATCCTTCACCTAGTTCTTCCGCTCTTTGTGGCTTTGATATCGTGAAACGAATATCGCCACTACTATTTTTCTTCTTCTCTGTATAATATATTTTTTATAAAACGTAGATGATAAATCATGTAGTTGGTACTTACAATATGAATAAAATCTATATTATATTTTAGATTCACATAGCACCGAATGCATTTGGAAAACTAATCTTCAAGAAGGACGACTAAACTGATCGATAAGAACAAGGGTATATTACGATAATGTTTTTGTAGAATTATTGAGTTAATAAAATTATATGTAATTGCTTTTGTCTATTAGGTATCTAGGTATTAGGTCTATCAAGGTAAATATTTGAATATTACGAAATAGAAAACTACTAAATTCCAAAATCTTAAGTGAAAAAGTTAGCTAAATAAATGTAAACACATCTCTATTTATGACGCAGTCAACTTTCTATTTTTAAATTGTTACTACGAATAGATAAGTAATAAGAGAAATTTCAAAAGTAATTCAAATATTTTAATTATTATTTTTATTAGCTTAGTCTATTATGGACAATAATTTATTAATGCGTCTCAAGTAATTATGTTTTAATTTTGTATATAAACATATTTAATACCAGAATTAAATTAAAGAGTGGCAATGCGTATGAAAAAATATTATAATAACAGTAAAAAGAATGGAAAACGAAGACTTAAACATCCTCGGAGATTTACGGTCCAGAAAATAACAAACCTCAAATTATACGTGAAATCAAATCTGAACTGTCTTTTTAGATTTTCCCCATGTGGTCTAATTACATCTTTATCAACGTCTGTTTTGCCTTGCAATTCTTAGAATGCACAGATTGAAGCAAACATCTGAATTTGGTTTCAACACTATTTGTTTTTTATACCACAATACAAGTGTGAAGTGTAACTTCTGTGTTTTTTTAAACGATACATACGACATACAGCCAACTATGTGGTTTTTCCCATTAATTTTATTTTAAGTATCGTTAAAATATATCAAGAAAAAGATAGGACCCAAGACAGAGCCTTGAGGTCCTTCAAAATTAATAAAGATATTACTAGAGTATCCCTCATTGATTGATACAGACAGGAATATGTCTTCCAACTATAAACTGAACCACTTTAGAGCACTGCTTCTAAAACCATATCTTTCCAGTTTATTAAGAAGTATTTTATGATTAAGACAGTCAAAGGGTCTAGACAAATCACAGAAAACTACGGCAGCAACTAAATTGGTATTTAAGTCAGTTTTTCTATGAATTTGATGATGGCATCATATCTACTTTTTAATAACTGGAAACCGAATTGGAAGAAAGAATAGACTTAGTTAGAGGAAAGATGAAAATACTGGCGGACTTTAATGCTCGAATAGACAACCAACTAATATCCGGAATCAATCAAAAACATAACGAGAACGTTCAAAACGAAAATGGAGAAGTGATGATTAACTTCTGCATGAATAACGAACTTAGAACAACACATTTTTTGACTACAAAAACCAACACTATGGACACCTATGGACAAAGGTTATTGATAAATTATGTTATAACCAACAACTTATAATCGAAGGAAAAGTCAATAGCAAAAGAGGACCAGGAAGAAGACGGAACTCTTGGCTTAAAAACCTACGGAAATGGACGAACATGACCTCCATAGAACTATTCAGGGCTGCTACAAATAAGATTAAATGGGCAAATGTAATGGCCAACGTCCTTAAGGATAAGGCAACGTAAGAAGAAGATAACCAACAGAGATACACATACATTCAGAAAAAAGGGAACACTGGGAGAGCGTCACAAAACAGATGGAACACAACTTCTACGGAACACAACGAGAAGTATGGATCAAAGGACAAAGAAAAGAAGAAACTAGATGAACTAATAAAAACGAAACAGATTTCGAAGGAAAAATAGACAGACTACTTTCGATCCCTATTTGCTTTTGATGAAGATATTGAACTACCAAAATCAAAGGTGACGACAAACTAAAAATAAACATTGAGGAGCGAGAGGTAAAGAAAGCATTAAGAGCGTTAAACATAGAAAATCGCCAGGAGAACTCTTAAAGTACAAAGCACCAGATATGACCAAACAACTATTGTTAAAACTAATCCAAAAAAATAATAAACCAAAAAAAATATCACAAGAATAGAGATCAAGCATCCTAATAGGCCTCTTCACAAAGTTGAATTACCTTGTCCAATTATAGAAGCTATCTCTTTTATATTTTGACTATCACTTGTAAACTTATACCCAGATATATTTATAACTATCAGTATTTTTAATTTCAGTGCCTCTTCTAATTCTAAGCAACCTGTTTCACTTCCCACCACTACATATTCTGTTTTTAATGGATTAATTTATAAACCCCACTTGGTTCTTCATATATTTTTCTTACTATATATTAAATATCTTGCCAAATCCATTATAAGGCGAAATTTGGCCTTCAGGCGCCGCTGTCCATACGTGTAGAAGTTTCAGGTATTATTTGTCCAAGAAGCTGTGTGGAGATTGCACAACTGAACTTTAAATCTTCACCACTTCGACCATTTGCTAAGGATCTTAGCGTGGCGATTAATCGCTCTCTGCTACTTACCGATTCTCTCATGTGTGTGTTCTTTCTTTCGATTCTAGGGCCAACATACCCTAATAATGTTTAAAATTCTTCATTATCCATTCGCAGAAAATTGTGTAAATCAAGCGGTTCTCTTGTTTCGAGTTCTCTAATTAAATTCATATGTGAGTACTTTCTTCGTTCTAATAACCATTGTTTTGACCACAGTCTTTTCTTTTTTCTATCATCAAATAAAGCTATATATCCTCCAATTATTGCCAGTTGCTTTTTATTATTCATAGCACAGTAGAAAACAGATAAACACACAACGCAGAAACCAGTAGAACTTATAGATTTGTCCGTGAATGTGTAGCGCCAACGAATTTGTCTGTAGACACATCTACCTGTATATAGCTAACAACGGATCTGTCCTCCGGGACATATCCTCCGGACAGATACGCATGTGAAAAGGGCCCTAAAATAAATAGAATGATTAAAAAATACAAAAAATCCTACACACTGAACCTTTATGTCAGACCTTGGCAAAGATCTTTTGAATATCGAAATATACTGCTGCAGATTTGATATTTTATCTTTTATCTTGTTAAATTGATAACACCGGCAATTTGTATTTCTGATTCAGTAAAAAAGAATAAAACTACAAATTAAAGCATAATGTACAGGTTAACTTCCTGTTTATACGTAAAAAGTATAAATGAACCTTTTTCATGAAGGTCAGTTATTTATTAATGATAGAAGTAAATATATGAATTATTGTTTTCAATTATCACCTGCATCTAATGTTAAAACTAACTAATTATTACGCAATAATAGCATTAAAGCATTTGTAAGATAAATACTTCAAAACATTTATGAAATATGTCTATGTACATAAAAATTTAATGCATTAGTTGAATTAATTTTCATTTAAAAATTAAACCAAATTAGTTATTTAAATGCATGACTTGGTATATAATATTTAATGATAAGGTTAATTACTGACACATTTGTTTAAGCCAGCTGTGCAGTCTACAACCTGAAATACTACAGAACGTTACACTGTACGTTTAGATATTATTTGATACAACAATTTCAAAATGGTTCTTAATGGAAAATATACCGTGGTTGGAGAAGAAAATTTTGCCAACTATCTCAGCGCTATGGGTATGTAGTATACAATTTAAACTTAATTATTTTAGCAATATATTGTTACAATATTTTTGTTCGAGGATTGTCCTTCTTTGTTGGAGGCTATATTCTGTGGATAAATCACATGGCCCACATAATTTTCTTTACCTTGATAAGCAATTCTGTTTATTCATCAGTGGATTGATACCTACGCGGAATATTGCTGTCAATATCTATTGCTGTTTACACCAAACGGATCTCCTTCATTCTGCTTTTGTGGTTAGCTCAATCTTGTTTTCTGTTAAGTGTTCATTCGTTTATACACTGGACGTTACTTCTTCTTCTTCTTCAGCCTTCATTTATTCATTGTTGGACATAAGCCTCCTCCAATTGCTTCCACGCTTCCCTATCTTCTGCAATTCTCATCCACTGCTTTCCAGCTACAGCTGTTATATCATCTATACATCTCTTTTTTGGTCTTCCCATGCTTCTTTTTGTTTCTCGAGGTCTCCAGAATGTCACTGTATGAGACCATCTGTTGGTGTCTTGTCTTGCTATATGTGCTACCCACTGCCATCTCAAGGTCGCTATTTTTCCCATTATGTTGGTTACTTTAGTTCTTCGACGTATTTCGGTGTTAGGAATTTTGTCTCTGAGGCTTATATTTAACATGGTCCTCACCATGGTCCATTGAGTTACTTTTAAATGTTTTGCCATTTTTTTGTTACAATACATTTTGTTCTAATGTCTTCACTTCTTTTTCGATCTCTTAGCATATTTCCTGTAATTCTTCTCAGTACACTCATCTCCGAATTTCCAGCAGCCTTTGTGTTGTGGATGTGTCGGGCCTTGCTTTTAATATATACGTCTTTATTAATCTTACACTAGCTTTATAAATTCTTGACTCCATCTCAGTGTAACTACGTTGGTTTTGCCAAATAGTATTATTAAGACATTCTATCAGTCTCACTTCTTTTGTAGTTCACTAGTCTCACTTCTCTCTCTAGGTCTTTATAGCTGGACAGTGTAATTCTAAGATATTTTGTTGCCATTCTTCTTCTTAAGATGCCTTATCCATTACTGAAGGTTGGCTAGAACTACAGCAAATTGCTTCCTATCTTAAGCTGTTCTTAGTATCGAATGTGTGTCCATACCTGTCCAGTCTCATACATTCTTTAACCAGGAGCATTTTCTTTTTCCTGGGCCTTTCTTCCTTCCACTTTCCCTTCCATTATAAATAGTAGGAAGTTGTATTTTTCTCCTCTGTAAATATGTCCTAAATAACTGGTTTCCTGTTTTTACAATATTTAGGAGTTCTCTTTCAGTACCCATTCTTCTTAGCTCCTCGTTGTTGGTCACGTGCTCTGTCCAAGAGATCTTCAGCATCCTTCGAAAAACCCACATCTCAAAGGCTTCTATGCGCCTCATACTTGTAACTCCTAGAGTCTATGTTTCCACTCTGTATGGCACATGAAATAAATAAACGTTTCTATAAATTGGTATCGGATATCCAACGATAACGTAGAGCTTATTAGGAATTTTGTTCGTTTACAAACAAGATCGTTTGTTATCCAGCAACAAAGATACTGGAATCTTTGTATTGGTTCTATATGTTTGTTATTACATTTGTTTTTGTTTTTGTTACATTTGTTTGTTTCCATTACACCATCGATTTCTAGGTTACATCTGGTAGGTTCTTTGCTAATTACTGTTATTTTAGTTTTCTAAAATGAGAGAGTCATATTCATTATTTTACTCTTGTACGAAATTTGTTAAAATTTACTAGTTTTTGTAGACTATCTTTATCTAGGGGTATCAACATTGCATCGTCTGCGTACGGAGTAGGTATTTTTATTTTTTTGTTTTCTATTCTGTTTTTTCTTCATTTGTTGCTGCTTTTCATTACTTCATCCATGAATAAATTGAAGAGCATAGGTCTTAATAGCTCCTCTTATCTTATTCCGTTGTCTGTATCTATAGTTTCTTTAAGTTATCCGTCTAACCTGATTTCCATGTTGTTGTTTTGACAGATTTGATGCTTTTGTCTATCATATAGAAGATATATTACATCTTTGAGTACTATTCTATAAAATACTTTTTTCAAATCACTGAGATATCGTTAGATAACATGAGTTGTCATCTAGAGCCTTTACAGAGACATCGTCCCAGGGTTAGCAACCCTAATTTGGGAGTCTTATGTTGCCACGTAGGATATCTGTTAAAAATTTTAACATCACACTATCTTATTAACAAATATGTAACAAAATTTTTAATTTTTACCTATAAAAATTTTTTTTAAATCTCTTTCGACAAATGAGTAATTGGACTTCCTCGTTCTTGACCTTGTATGTCTTCTTCACGTGCCATATCAGAATTATCCGACGTTGACGATCACTATTACGAAGGCTTCTCGATCTTCTGCAGTATGGAATAATTGTCTATTTGAAATATGAGTCCATTTACGAATGTTTTTAAAACCAAGAAACTTGTTTTCTTCCTACCTCTCTACGGCCCTCTATTTTGCCTTTAAGAATCTGTTGTAATATTTTATATCGACTTTCCTTACTATATGTCCCAGATAAGACATTTTGCGATGGTAAACAGTCTTTAGCAGTTCTCTATCTTTGTTGACGCTTCTTAGTAATTCTTCATTAGTTTTCCTTGCTGTCCAAGGTATCTTCAGCATTCGTCTATGAACCCACATTTCCAATGTTTCAATTTTGTTCATGATCAATACTTTTAGCGTCCACCTTCTGCACTATATAAAAGTACGGACCAAACATAGCACTTAACCATTTTTTGTCTTAGTTCTAAACTGAGATGATTATTGCAAAGGAATGACTTCATTTTCATAAAAGTAGTTTTAGTCATTACTATTCTACGTGTTATTTCTATGTGATCTACGATCTATTTCTTTTGTGAACTTTCTCAAATTGGACTCCGTTTAATTAAAGCTTTGTATCGTGATGTGGATCACGACTAAACACTAAAAATTTGGTTTTGTTTGAGTTTATTTTAATGCCTATTTCCTACCTCGTGAATACGATCAAGCTGAATTTGGAGAAGTTTAATATTATCTGAGAGAATTACTGTATCGTCTGCATATCTAATCATATTAAGTAGTTCCCCGGTAATTTTTATTCCATATGGTTGTCTCTCAAGTGCCTTTTTAAATAACTGGTCCGAGTAAACATTGAACAATGTTGGCGACACAATGCAACCTTGTCTGACTCTTCGTTGTATGGGGATTTCAGCGGTGTAATTATCTCCAATTTTTACGATAGCAGTTTGATTCCAGTACAAATTTTTAATGACACGAATATCCTTGTCATCTATTCCGATATTTTTCAGTATTTGCATTAATTTTACATTCCGTACTTTATCGAATGCCTTTTCGAAGTCCACGAAACATGCAAATACATCATTTCTTTGGTCACGGCATTTTTGTAATAGGATGTTAACCGCAAAAAGTGCCTCCCATAGCCCAAGGTGCCACTTGGTGCCAACCAAGTGGTTCCCATAGCATTTCTAAATATAAATTGGGTATCTTCGAGATCTTCTTCGCATTTGCATCTTATTCTGTTGTGCATTATTCTTAGGAAAATTTTAAGAGTGTGGTTCATTATACTAACTAATCGATATTCTAAGCATTTTGTCGCATTCCTTTTTTTAGGTATTGCGACAAAGATGGATTTGAGCCAATCTGTGGAAATCACTCAGGTGTTATATATTGAATTAAAAAGTCTTATTACTACTTTTATATTATCATCCTCTATTAGTTTCAGCAACTCAGTTGGTGTATCAGTATAGTTTTGGTAGAATTCGGCAATATTATTCCTGACATCTTCAAACAACTCTGATATATACAACCTTGTATGTATCTTGTTTTAATAATTAATTCGATTATTTACAGGTTTTCCGTACAATTATGTGAAATACTCAATTGATATTAAACAAGACTCCGATAAAGTTACGGTAATAAAGTCTTATGAAGGAAAATCGAAAGCAGTCGTTATTCCTTTGGGAGTAGAATACGAAGAGACTAATGCATTAGGAGTAGTAGTTAAGGTTAGTAAGCACTTATTTTATAGTAAGTAACATACGTTTCTTCCATTCCTAATTTTTTTCTTCTATGGGTGCTCTACGGTATGCACTATTTAGGCGTTTAAGCTGGTTGTCGAATGCACAACAATCCCTCTTGCACTCATCTAAATATTATCTTAGATTCAGATATGTGCACCAGCTTTTTATGTCACGAAACCAATAAAAATTATTATGTAAAATACTAAAATCTGTATAACTTTACAAATTCAGTTTTTTAAAAATTAAATTTTGTCTTTAGAAAAAAAAGGGCAGTCTGTGCAGTACCTAACTAAGGGCAGATAAATAAATGGGCTGAATCTTATAGCGTAATATATTCACTTTGAATATTTAATAAAAGTTTTTCCTTAATTTGAGTCTTCGCGCTCTGGGCTGTTTATCATGAAATATTTTTTTCCGGTATATTTTATATGTCCGGTAGTGCGATACCACCAATAGGATAGAGCTTAGTGATGAATGTAGGTCTCAGACATCTACTAATTGGCATTGATAAAGTTACAAACTTTATCAATGCCAATTGCATTGATAAAAGCATTGATAATAGGCAGCTACTTCTACGTGTCTAGTATGTACTGATGCTTCTCATCTGCAACTTAAACGCAGAGTTCAAGCGCCAATGCGTATGGCAAAATGCGTGCCCCATTGAGGTTCACAAGTTTGCGGATAATATATTGTTTGTTTGTTAGTTTTATCGTTTAACAATGCTTTTCAACTGACAAGCTTATACTTGGGGTTGCTGTTTTAACATTATTCCACTATTTAGATGACACAGCTAGTTGTTTTCGCTTCGGAAAAATCTCTGCTTGCATAACAATTTATGTGTCGTCTGCATAGATGAAAGTCCTAGTACGTGTATTTTACATATGCTATTCTTTCCATTTAGAGAGACAAAAATCTTGTTTGGCAGTTAGGCACGGATAAGACGAGAAAATTTAACGTCTGTCGTGATATTATACAATTTATAAAATATGTTGCTGTGATTTACTATAGAATAAATAGTGCTAATATCTGCTAACTCTGTATAAAATAC